AGAAAGTGGAAAGAAGCTCAGAATTTTTGCACGAGAACAGAAGGGAGCATTGATGGAACAGGGTGTTCTGGCAGGTACTTTGCCTGCTGGATGTAGGCACAGTTTTCAGTGTGGAATGGGGAGATTCCTGTCATTGAAATGAGCCCTCAGCAGGATTAACAGTTGAGGTGTTCTCTACTTGTCTCACCTCGGGGGGGGGAGTGGGGTGTCAATCTTTTGGGAGCCTTCAGGTTGCACCTGGCCACGTGTAAAAATGCCTCGTGGAAAGTGGAAGATGAATAAATTGAAATATTTAGGCTAGGGAGAGAGTGTGAAAGTGGCTTCAGGATCCTGCTTTGGGATATGGGATTCCAGGGAACAGCCTTGGGGCTGAATTGCTATTTTAGTAATTGCTGGTTAATGGCTTGTTCTGACTGGTTTCAACCAAACCTAAATGACTGCTGGAAACACCAGAGATACCAAGTTTCTGTTCATGTTCTGGAATTAAAGGATCACTGGGATTGGAAAGGATCCCTGCAGGTCTCTAGACCAACCTCCCTTCTTTTAAGCAGGGTCAACAATTAATTCAAACCAGCTTGCTCAGGGCTTTTTCCAGTCAGATCTTAAAAACCTGCACAGCCTCTCTGGGCATCCTCTTCCAGTGCCTGGTTATCCTCATGGTTCAGTGTTCCTCACGAATTTGATTGATGTTCATGCCATTTCCTCCTCTTATTTCCTCATTTCCCATTGTCTTAATTTCCTTTTTATCCCAATGAAGACATTAGATAGAACAAGTCTCGGGGTAAAGCCCTGAGGAACTGCAGTTGTCTCCAGCCTAGAGGTGGAGCACAAACCGATACTTTTCAACCCCCAAATCCAAACACTCTTTGCTCATCTGTTGGTTCATCCACCTGGACCACAATAAATTTACAATATTCTATGAACAAGCTATTTGAGAGTGAGATTTTCAGACAAGGGACTTGAAAAGGAGGGAGAAATCTGCTCAGAATTCCCCCCTCTGGTGCCCAGGTATTTGAACATCTGGAATTCAATGCTGCCTGCTGGAATACCTCTGTAACACAGCAGGATGCATTAATGAGAGTTTCGATCTTAAATCCACAACATCAATGGAATTTCTAGTTGTCAGGCCGTTAACATTATTCAAACATAGGGTTTTTGTGGTTTCAGTTCCCATTTTATTTTCTTGTAGGGCCAAAGTTCATTGTGTTGAGTGGCCAAGTGTCCTCCTTACACTTGAAATGTCTATGAAACAATTAAATATTGCTTATTGCTCATGACAGCATTCTCAGGATGCACTGCAGGGCGAGGAGAAGGGTATTTGTTGGAGAAATTAGAATCTCTCCCTTAAGATCTCAGCTGGTTTAATATCCTTGAGCACCAAAAGTGCCTCGCTCACGTTTTGGAAAATACCACAAAAACATTCAAAGCAGAATCCACATAAAATTCCAGTATCATCTTCAACCATCATATAAAGTGCCATCTGATATTCTTCCTGGTGGGCGAATTCGCCTTCAGACGTTTCATTTTTCCCTGCTCTTGTATCTCCATGTGGTCTTTTGACTTAATATGCAGAGCAAGTTAATGAGCACCCAA